GTGGTACTCTGTTCAAAATGAAAGGCACGCCCTGTAACTAAGCACATAGTAAGTAACCAAAACGAAAGAAAGTCATAGCCAAGCTGGCAGGCAGAAATTCTGTTCTCCTAACAAGCACATGGACTATATATTTTCAGCTACTACCTTTCTTCATGCCAGCATTTTGAGTGAAAAGGATCTATGTATGTATCCAGTCTGTAGGAGACTAAATATGCAAAATTCTGATCTTAATTCTGAATGACCAATAATGAATGCCTAAATACAATGACAAGAAAGCTATTCAAAATCTGGATTTCTGCGAAAACAGAGACAACACAAAGAAAAATGAAAGCCTCTGAATTAGAGAACAACAATCAGAGTAAAATTTATAGCCAGAAACTTTTAGATTTGTATCTACAGAGTTCAACCGAGGATTGAGACCGAAAGAAACCCAACAATTTTTATTTTGACAAAAAGATGACAGAGCACACACCATATCATGTTTCAGGCCAGTGTGTTCCAATAAAGAAATATGGCAAAAGTGTCATTTTCTTTCTTTTAAATAACTTACATCTTGACCATGGGGAAATCTGAGATCAGATCTTAGAGAGAAAAGGAATTTCTTCCTAAGTCTTTCAAGCCTATCTTGTGTTTTGAAACAAAACTAAGACTTCTACACATGGTTGGTAATTTTTGATCTGATTCCTTTAAGACGACAACGGTTTATATAACATTACATCATTGAAATTAAAATTTCAGTTTGTTGTCTTTTTTTATTGGAATTCAGATCTCTTATCCGCATTGATTTGGGCTCAACCCAACATTTTGACTGTGCATCACACACCTATGGGCTTGCAGGTCCATTCTCCTTTCCCATTCCCGAGACACACACACTCCAACATGTAACCGCCAGTCTCGTGCGGTCTCCTCCAGGTGTCACCGATCTTGTAGGACTGACCCCCTTCGTGGCAGCGGTCTGTTTAAGATCAAAAGTTAATGTTAGAGAGAGTGGGACCGAGAATATTTCTTAAAAAAGAAAACGTCTCATGTTCCAACCAGGATAGGCACTTAAGCTGGCCAAAGTAAGGACACAGGGAGCAGCTTTCCCATCACAGACAGAGGAAAAATTAACTGGTCTGGTCACTTTGGGTCATTCAATTAAATGTCTTGTTTAAGCACAATGGGAAAGCACAGAGAAAATTGAATGGCAAGGAAAGGAGTCATAAATCCTGGTTCCCCAGAGAGATCACAGGAAATTGGGTTCTAAAGCAGAAAAGAAAGGCTGGCAGGCAAGACCTCCATGCAGGTTGGGCCTAAGAGACTAAGTCAATTAAAGAGACATCGGGCCTAGCTTTCCAGCTTTCAGGAATGTGGAGACTGTATTTTACTCTAGGATAGAAATGTCATTTTGATGGGACTAAAGAGATGTATACATCTAAGTGTGGAAATCTGGGCACTTCTCTAGGCTGTTAAACACAGTGGCCCAGGCAAAGGCTAAACTGTCCACTGGATGGTAAATGCTGTGGACCACTGACTCTTAAGATTTGCCAATAAACTCTAACATTAAATAAGGGCAAAGCTGATTGGGCTTATTCCCAAGAGATTGATTTGTCTTTTGGACAGACCTTAAAATGACTTAAACGATAGATGAAAAAAACTAAATGCTACGTTAATGTAATCTATTGGTAACCCAATGACTCAGATTGGAAAGTTTGCCTTAGCTGAACTAGAGTTGCTGAGTCAATCCAGATCCCAAAGTACCTTGGAAACACTCTTAGGCTAATCATCCCATATTATCCCTGGCAAGAGAAAGATCTGCTTCCTGGGTATAAACTACTGGTCACAAAGAAACCAGACTGTTGCTGTGAGATCCAAGACATCTGTGCATTGCAAACAAGCAGAGCAGACCACACAGTGGCTAACTCGCTCTCCGTGGCCACCTTCCCAATCACTGCAGATCACCCCTGGATCAGTTTGGATTGAAGATGCCCAGGTCATGCAAAATGGGCAACTCCTCCAAGCATGCCTTGCTTGGAGTGGAACCCAAGAGATCCACTTGGTAACGCTATGTACACACACACGCACACAAATCCACACAGACTCAACACTGACACCACCTGTGCTCAGAACCACCTTCCAGAAGCACAGGAACCAGTTGGGTGTCCACATAAGAGTACCTGGTCACCTGGGACAAAGCCCCAAGTTAGGAATATCCAGTCATAGATAACAGAAAGTGACAGTGATGGGAATGGAAAACTTCATATGGGGAGATTTTCCAGTCATTTGACAGAACACTGTCCTTACTCGCAATGGTGCAGCTTATTCTCCCTCGCCCAGCCCCGATGCAGGTACAGTCCCAGATCATGGAGTCTTTAGGGCGCTCATAGGTGTCGCCAACCCGGTAGGTGTTCCCAGTGTACTTGTCAAAGCAAGTCTCTTCAGCTGAGGGGAGAAGGAAAGTCTGCGTGAGCCCCACATACGTAAAAGCTTTTCGATTCCACTGACCCCATCCAAAGGAAAATTCACTTTTCCATCCTACAAGCAGCAAGGGACAAACGGAAAGTTTTAAAAAATTGAAGTGGGAGATGTAGATTTTACCCTAGGCTGTAATAAAGCCTCAGTTTTCAACATTTGACAAGTTCTCTGATTTTCTGGAAATATAATTTCCATTGGAAAGGATTCTCAGACCCTTAGGGAAAAGTCATATATAAAGTAAGACCTTAGGACTGGCTAAATTGTGAAGGAAGGGCTTCCGCTTCTCTCTGGCTCAGAAAGTCAAACCAAGGTCCACATAAAAAGCAAATAGTTTGAAGAGCCCCACCTCCCATCAGGCTCTGTCACTTGTTAGTCCTACTATTTCCATTTTAGCCCCAACAGTGCTTCTCAGTAGGAGTTGCCATAATTTACAAGAAACATATCAAGAATCATAAAGGAATGAGAACTTTGAAGTGGTTAGTGGTTTTATGTTGAACCGCAGCCAACAAATCACTTCACAATATAGCGCCCAAAGTGTTTTTTGCCCCATACTTTAATAGTTTAAGATTTGAAATTACTTTCTAATAAATTAAAATTTTATAAGCAATTCTTTTTTCCGGAGGAAGAAAGAACACACAACATCTTTCATTTTTTTCATCAAAAGCTTTGGGAAAGTAATATAAAAAGAAGACTCTAGGAACTACTTTGGGATATATTTGTTCTTTTGTTTTATAGGTAAAAAGAACATATGGAAAGCAAATCTAAGCAGCTATTAAACATTTTAAAAGAGGAAAAGATAGATAATTCAACTGGGAAAGTGGTGTATGTAATTTCACTACTAATGCTAGGTTTAGTTAACAGGCACTACTTCTCCATCTATTAGAAGATACCAGGTAGCAGACAGCCTCCCCCCAACTTACGTTCAGGCTTGCTCTCGCAGTTGAAGCCCCGGCTCCCTCCATAACAGGTACAAACCAAGGCACTGCCCAGGTAGGTGCGCTCCCATTGTTGGTTTATCTGATAGTGTTTCCCATTGTCGTAACAACCAGCTGTAAGTAATTGAAGGGAAAAGTTATTAAATTTTATCCTTCCTTTTTGCAGATTATGGAATTTTCCTGTACAATGAAATTGATGAGCCTAAGCAACAAATGTAGCAAAAAGTTAATCATCAGAGCACCAGGAGAGTTAAAAGCAACTAGCTATCTAAAGAGTTAACCACAACTTGCACACATAGATATTTAAGTATTCCTTTTTCCCCCCTTTTTACTTCGTTAAATGTTATACAATGATGTCATTTCCATCTGGCCAGGGGTCTTGCATCAAAGAAGTGGAAACATTTTGAAAAGCAGATAACTGGGAATTACATTTTAAAACATGCAAGGAATTTCAGTGCCCTTTTGGGGTAATAAGTCAAGAAGGGCACATTAAGCAGTTTCCTTTAGCCAAGAAAAAGGCAGGGTGTGTCTTTGAAAAACTGGAAGAGGAATTCTGATCTCTGTTCTTGGAGAAGCATCCTGAGGGCCCCCAGAGAAATCTGAACCAATTACATCTCATTCAAAGTAGGAACAGCATAGTTACTTAGCTACCCTCTCTGCACCCCCATTTTGAAAATACTTAACCAATTATTTAATAACAAAGAAAACAAGAGTAAGGACCACACTAATCCCAAATGGAAAATTTAAAGGCGTACATCATTATCTCTTTAAAGGCAAGTTTTGATGAATTCATAGGAGGACAACCTGAAGACCTGAACGTAGAGTTGGTAAGAGTACTGTGTGGGTTCGCAGAGCCCCTGTCCTCCAAGGCATTATCTCATCCTAGGCCCTCAGAACCAGCCTGCTCAAACCAAGAGTCTTTTGTGTCCACAGCCGATTTTTTCTCCTTAAGGCGTGCACACACTCCACGCGCGCGCGCGCACATAACTTCAGCCACAACTTTAGTTGGCTTTAAGGTCCCATCCCGCGACAGCCTGTTCCAGCCCGCGGTCTGTACTCACGCTTGCTTTGGCCGACAGTCAACGGGGACTGGGGCTGAATGATCTGCTGAGCCTGCCTCCTGCTCTTCGAGGCTCCGGCGGAGGGCACCGTGTTCCCCAAGGACAGAATGGCCAGAAGCAGCAGCCCGGGCCCCGGACCCCCGAGCATCTTGAGACGTTGCGGGGAGAGACGCTCTCACCAGGAGGCAACTTGCCACCAAGTTTGGCTTCCTTCGTAACCTGCGGGGGGAGTCCCTTCCAGTGCCTCCAGCGGGTTCACACCGCCAAGATAGTAAGGACTGGAGGATGGGGAAGGGAAAAGGTAGAGGGACAGAGGGGAAGGAGAGGACCAAAGAAGTTGTGGCTGCAGGTCCCCTCTCCCCCGCTCGCGCCTAGGACTCCCTCTTGCGAAGCGCAGTCGGCGCGGGCGGCCGAGCTCCGAGAACCAGGGTTTATATGGGACGGTCCCCTCCCGCCCCCCGCAAGGCCCCGGGTGCCGGGGAGGAGGGACCGTCCGGACTCCCCCACCCTCCTCTCGCCGCCGCCGCCGCCGACCGCGCGCGGATTGGCCGGGGCTCCGGGTGACGTCAGGGGGACTGTGGGTTCGCCGCGAACAAAAGAGATGCTGATCGCCCGCCAGGACTGGGGCAAAAGAACTTTTTTTCGGTTTCCTTTGCGGTCGTCAAACTTTTTGGGGGGCAGAGGGGGAGGGACGGGAAGCGGCTGGAAAGGGATAGACTGGGAGGAAAGGGAGGGGCTGGAGTCGTGTGAAGCGAAGGGGTCCCTAGTCCCTCCTTCCCCCACCTCCCCGCCCGCTTCCCCTTTCTAGTTTACTGTAGTGGGGGGGAGGTTGAGGACATTGCATCACCTCTGGGAAAAAAAAATCTCTGCTCACTGGAGTGTATTTCAAGGGGAGGAAAAACCGTAAAGTAGCCACCACCTTGCTGCTGTAGGAATGTAGACCTTGCCGTCCCAAGGCGGGGCTGGCGCGCCTCCTGTTCCCTTTCTTAGCTCTACTGTGTACTGATTGGGGACTCACTTTCTTTGCCTTTACAGCTTCCTGTTCAAAACTTCTCCCCTTCTAAACTCTGTACCTGCCCGGTTCTGAGGCGTGCTAGCCGCGGGGCCAAAGGGAAAAGCAATCCTTTAATGAGCTTCTACTAAGTACCAGGAGCTCTGCGGGGCGCTTGGCGGATCTGGGGGAAATTCAGAGAAGGAGGTTTCTTTTGAAAAGACAGAGCAGCAGTTTACTTTTTTTTTTTCAAGTATGCAAGAAAGTCTTCTTTTCCTGCGGATAGGATGCCTGTTACCACTGAAAACTGGAAAGTTGGGCCGATCATGGAAAGAGAAAGATCGTGGTGTCCTTGACCATGTTCACCGCGCCCCTTACACAGAGACCTCTGAGTCACTTAAAGCTGAGACAAGACCATTCCCAGTCTCGCCTTCCTACAGTCCCTTCCTCTCTTTTTATTTGGAATTTTTGTTTGGCAGACATCGGTTTCATCACAGAATTCCCCTCCCCCAACGCCGCTGCCAATTTTTTTTTTCAAGTGTTACTTACTCCAAGAATGTAGAAAGTTCCCATTTGAAACTTCCTGATCTTTCCCTGTAAAGGCAGAGAGTAGAAAGGGAACCTGAGAAGTCGCTAGCATTTAGCAACTCATCACATCAGCCCTTTTTTCAGACAAACACAGGTCACACTTGCTTTTTAAAGATCTTCCAAAGGAGTCCTCAGCTTTCTTCAGTTACTCCTGAGGGACCCAAACTCAAAGCTTCGCCTCCTAGTTAGGTTAGTAAGTGCAGACCTCCCTTTTGCTTTGAGAACCTATGAAAGTTGCCAGCCAAATATGTTTCTTTCTGCAAGTACTTGTTTTCTTCAAAAGTTCCGCCTTCAATAACTGCCATGGGGTAATTCGAACCCTGGTCTATAAAATGTCCAGCACATCAAAGACACAAAACTAACATTTGTTTTTATTAACACAGGGAATTAAAGGGGGGGGGCAAGCACAGCAAATATCAGTTTCTTACAAAGAGTGTAAAATAACTTCTTGAGGAATCTTTGTGACCAACTTTTCAAGTTGAAAGAGTGCCACGGACTTCCCCAAATTTAGAGTCCTGTCTGGGTCAGAGTTTTTTTGAATTTCTCATCATCAACTTGACAAAGCAGTTTTCTCTTTCAAATATAAAAGGGCCGCTTGTAAAATTCTTAGTAAATTTCTGGGAAGCTGGGTGTTCCTTCCAGAGGGAAGGATACCTGGAAATCAGGATGTAAGCAAGATAAACCTGAAGCTAATACTTTCTTAAAATACATAGATTCTAGGGGAAGGAAATAAGTGGTTAGAAAAGTATTTTGTCAACCAAAACCATGATAGTTGGATATATTTACTGTACTCAAAATACATTAGAATAATATACACATGACAGCTTGGAGGGAAAAGGCCCAAGCAGCTTACATTTCAGAAGAAACATGTTTCAATCCATTGAAATATAATTTGTTTAAGGATATGGCATATTTCTAGTGTCTCATAAGCAAAAATGTAATAATATTTTTTTTAGAGAAATTCTTACGAATTTACACTTTTAATTTTTCTTTTTAAACATTGATAGTGGAGACCTTTTCTTAGTTAAAATAACAAGGCTTGCTACGGTATTCTTTCATTATCAAAATCCCTTGTAATTGTGTAAGTCTGTTATCTCTAACTGGAGAGAGAATTAAATCTCTCCACACTGACCCTATTCAAACTAGGCATGCCGCGGGTCCAAGATTCCCTTGCACTCCCTGAAGAATTCTGAAGATGATTTTGACAGGGTGGGTTCTTCAGCAAACAGTAGTTTTTTATTTATAGGCTAGATTCTTGGATTTCTTTTCCTCATCTTGATTTGCAGAGGAAATTGTGACAAAAGGGACAGAAAATAGATTGCTAGGTGCCTGGGGCTGGAGCTGGAACAAGAATTAACTGTAAATGGGCACAAGGAATCTGTCTGGGGTCTTAGAAATAAATGTTAAAACGGGATTGTGATGGTGGCTGCACAGCTTGGTAAAGTTACTAAAAATCATCGAATTGTACACTTAAAATGAGTGACTTTTATGGTTTGGAATAAAGTTTTTTTAATTAATTAAAGCACAGTATTTCTTTATTCTTTTTTAACTTGTACCATCTTCTGATTTTGTTTCTGCAGCACGCACAAAGTGACCTCCTGTCTTCATTTTTCTAAGAGGGAGCTTGCCTTTAATATAGTAATGGATTTTTTTTCTTCTACACCAGTCACCCCTTAGGAAACCTAGTATTTGTGTGATGGCACGGATGTGGGAGAGAAGGAACAAATCTTCATTTAGGATTGTGCCTTGTTTCTTCTTGGACTTGCCATGGAGATAGGATTTTCTCAGAACTTAGGTCAATTTAAATTTTCAGTAACGAAAAGGAGCACATATATTTGTGTGGTGGGGGGAGGGGGTTGTTATTTGAATGTCCTCTTATTGGGGAAGGTTAATAAGGAGCATGAACAATTATGGAAATCCAAAGTGACTTGACTTCATCTGAGTTGAAGATTATGGTTAAGCAGAAAATGAATTTATCAGATCCAGTCATTTAGAGAGGACTGAAATTAAAACAACTTAAGGGATAAGTATTAAAAGGCAGTTTTTTTCCTAAGTGGAAAATGGCTTTTCTCTAAGAGTAATACACACATGACAGACAATACCCATTGTAGGCAAATCCCTTGCCAGCTGGAAAAAAATCTTATCCCTGATAAGAAGTAACTTCTTGACCCCAAAGGTTACATTTAAATGAAGATGGGCTGTTTTGCCAGAAAACCTTTGGCTTTTATCTGTTCTTAATCATTTTCGGTCCAGTTAGAGGTGAGGCCATTGATTAAGTGACCTTTGGAGCTTTCTACCATAAGAGCCTGCCGTGTCTTTTACTATTTTGTGGTCTTCTATGGGTAGGTTGAATGGAGAGAAATTATGGTAGTTTGGTTTCTTATCTTGATTTTTTTTTTTTTTTTTAGTGTGAAATCCTTCCCATCTTCCCTTGAAAACAGCCAGGCTTGAAGAGCGGCTACTCATTAAACACAGGTGCAAGAAGGAAAAATAAACTGCCTCATGGGCAGCCCTCACAGGTAAAATGTCTGGGCAGTTAGTCTAGAACTGACAGGGCCCGGCAACTAGGGAAAAAAAATACTTGATAAAGACTTTAATTTATGCCTTGAAAACGAGCCAGTTTTCAGTTAATCAGCACTTTGTTTCTATTTGAAGTTCCTTTCTTATTTAATCAGCACTTTTAAAAGCCTTAATCTGTGCCCTTTGTTTTTTAACTGGAGTGTTCTTTTTTCTCATTAGAGTGATGGGACTCCCAAAAGGCTTTGCAAAGGAGTCTTATTCATCCATAAAGTGGAACGAACTACTGTGTAGCTGGAACGCTCTCCCAGAACCGTGTTATAAAACAGTTCGGTTTTCCAAGGTAGGTAGCAGTTTCTTGGAAAATTTTTATTTTTTGTGTGCCGTTGCTCCTTTTTCCAATTTTGCTTTATTTTATGTAGGTGGCTTTAAAAAGGCTGAAAACCTCTTTTGAAACTTGAAAGATTCTTAGTATTTAAATTTTTTTCTATCTTGTTTCCATTCACATACGTTCAGCATCTTACATGCAGCTAACTGTGAAGGTTGCATCAGATGCTTAAAAACAACTATAAACATTATCTCTTAAATAAACTTTTGTGCCGACAAAAGACTACTATGATGTAGGTGATCAAGAGACACTCCATCGATGAGTTACAAAAAACTAAGGACATATTCAACTGAGCTATAACAAAATTATAACATGAAAGTATAATTATAACTATCCCTAAATTTATGCTGAAACATTTTCTTGATAAATTTGATATATTCTCTCATTAGTTACGAAAATTTTACTTTGTGATGGAAAGGACATTTAAAATTACTATGTTCAACATGAAAAACTAAGGCACGCTTAAGCACGTGAACAAGGTCATAAAGATTTCAGTAAGTCTGAAATACATCTGACCAGCTAGATTTTATTAAGCACTTTCTCTGAGCCAGATCCAGTACTATGTACTTTATAGGCATTTTTTTCATTCAACCAACAAACACCCTCTAGGGTCAGTATGATCATGCTCTCACTCTTACAGATGGGGATACAAGGCTTAGAAAAATTACTAGAATGAAGTTTGCTGAATCAGCATCCTTGTAGAAATGGTATCACTTAATGATCTCCTTCTGGAATGCAGATATGGGCAAAGCAATTGGCTGAAGGATTTTGTGGATGATTTTTTTTCAACCCGAGACTAATTTATTCAGATGTCACGCAGAATTCTGTGAAGTGATATGCTACCAGCTTTCATCCATTGTATCTTTTGCGAACCAATTTCCTTCAAACAGCCTGACCTGTTTTGCCATTCTGATTGCTACCTCTGACCCTCAACTAGACTGCAAGCCTGGTGGGGCAGAGTCTCTGTCTCGTTTACCCTGTATGCCCAGCACTGGGTATAGTGCACTGCTGCATGAGTGCTTAGCACATGTGAATGAGAGGAAAAAAAGGGCAGATGACCAACACTTTCGAATCCACAGTTAGTGATGATTTGTCCAGCCAGTCACATTAAGTGCGCCACTTGTATTATTTTAGTTTCTCCTCAAAGCAACTGCCAGAAACAGATATTCATAACCCCATTTTATCCTCTGAAGCTCAGACCGTTTAAAGATGGTCCTTAAGCTTCTGCAAGGAAAGAAAGACAAAGTTGAAACTGAAAGTCTTCTGGCCACAAAATTTATGTTCTTCACTAAGACATACAAGGCCTCCCCAAAAGATTTTTTGCCCCATTTAAGTTATAAGAAATTTGGAAAAAACTCTGGTGGTTCCTTTCTTTGTTCTCAAGATCTTGGGGCTCTGTCCTCTGCTGCCTCGCCCTGCATCCCAGGCTGACCCCTTGGACGGGAGGCAGAGCCCTCTGCTTGCTGTGGGCAGGAGGACAAAGGTCACAGTGTTCAGAGCCACCTCTGGTGACAGCTGCCTCTCTCTAGAACGAGCATTCTCTGTGGGAGCAATATTGCCCCCAAGAGGGAGAAAATGGGTTCTCGGTGGGTGGTGGTGGGGAGTGGAGAGTAAAAAGAAAACACAACAACCACTCAGCCCTACCTGATAAAAGCTATTCCTTAGTGGTTAATTGATCTCATCAGGTAGAATTGAACTTAGATGTAATTTTTCTTGGCAGTGGGAATAACTAAAAAGAAATGGGGAGGAACCCTGTTCCGGGTTACACAGCTCTTGCCAGACTGTTCCCTGAGGCTCCAGCTCTCCCTGGCTCCCTCCCGTAATTGCCTTAGAAGCAATAAATCTACCTACCTTGCCGGTCCCTGGGAGCCTCAGCATCCTGCTTTATCCCTTGGCTGGGCCTACACCCCTTTAACAGTGCCTTCACCAGACTTTTTCAGTGGAAATCATTTGAATTTCATTTCCTGCTGAAACTCTGATAGCCCAGATCCTAACAGTCTCGAACCATGACACAAACAGTTTGCATAAGTTGTGGTTTAGGTCAAAACTGTAGCAAAATAGATTTGTGTTGCATGAATTATGTTTCAGACTTGGCAACTAATATGACTCCATAATTTCTTCTTGGAGTATTTCCCTTGTCTTGAAGGGCTCTTGTATGCATGTGCTCTCTCTCTCTCTCTGCTAAACTTGTGCCCCTTGAATTCTGTACCTTTTCTACAGTAAATTGCTCTGATGGTAGAAGCAATGACCTAGTGATCATAAAATGATGGAAAAAAGAAACCAGGATTTTATTGATAAGTATATAGTATTTGTCCATACTTCTTAACTCCCTTGGAAATGATCTGGCTCGTCTACCAGAGTAATTTGATTCATGCAAAGAAGTTGGGATCAGGAGCTCTATCATGTCAGGAACAGAAATTAATCTTTAAAAGTCCCTCAGAATCTGTGAATGTCATATATGTAAAAGGTAAAGAATTTACACATTTTTACATGTATAAAAATGCGAGTTTTGTTTTTCAATTCGTTTTAGATACTGAAATATTAGATGAGAGCTTATAAAGTAAAGGAAAACTTACTCAAGATTATTTTGAAGCAAAATAATGCAAATATTTATAGACCCAAGTCACAAACCCATTTCTGTTTAGAAGAGCAACACAAAGTAAATACCGTCTGGAATTATCATTAGAATGTCAAGTTCTGATAGTTTTTAACCTCTCTGAAGTGTGTGGCTTGTCTTTTTTCCCCCAATGGTGTCTTTTGAAGTGCAAAATTTTCTATTTAGATGAAGTATAGTTCATCCATTTTTTTCTTACTTCATTTGTTTTGAGTCTCTCAAAGATCACTATCCCTTATTGCCTGATGTCCAGTGTCTTGAAAAACCATGGTTTTATATATTTTTTTCTGGAGGTCTCTCCCTCCCTCTCTTTCTCTCTCTTTCTCTTTGCCTCTGGCTGTTTCAAGTGAGACAGTGTTGGTTCCCTCTTACTCAATCTTAGCTGGAAGTAGGAATTCCTTTCCATTTTCAGAGATTTTAAATATCTACATTCTTATATCCGTTTTAGACAATCGGTTTTGTGTCTCTGTTATTTTGTTTCCAACAAAAGTGCTACTTTTGACAGCTTTTTATTACATAAAATTTTGACTACTGTTTTAGTATTTGCTTTTAACTGATAAGACATTATGTTCTTTTCGACCAGTCTGTGCTTTGAGAACAAATTTTATTTCTCCTGGAACAGGATGTCAAAGAATGAAGTTGGAGGAAAGTTTAAGCTGGAATCCAAGTGGCGTAAAGACAGCACGGGAAACAAATGTTAAAATGCTATACCACAGCTTCTCTGGGTGTTGAATTAAACGGTTATCAAGCTAATTGGCAGGTAATTACGGGATCTATTATCATTTTATGTAATTAGGATGTAAACAAGGTGATACACGCGTTCTGTGTAAGGCAGTTGCTGCCTCCACCGGTTGTCTCTGTGTGCAGTGAGAAAACCAACAGGAAGATGACGGTTATTAGCAACAATAGTAATAATTATAGGCCTCTGATTGTTTTGGCCCAATCGGATATTTTTCTTCTCTACTTTTTGATTATATTTATACTCTTTTCCACAGAGACTGGCATATTATTATAGCCTATTGAAAGAAATTTAGATTGAGTCTTTTCTCCCCAATAGCACTATATACTCTTGGATGGTTGGCACTGAATTTATCCCTAGTGGGAAGACGTTTTGATTTCTATTCTTTGAAGTTCTTTAAGGAATATGATGGAGACTGCTGGTTGCCCACCCAGAGCCGGTCTGTTCTTCCCCAGCTGGTCCCACTGTGCACAACTAGACCACACTTTCCAGTCCCTCCTTGCAGCTGCATCATAGTGGAAATAGTTCGCACTAGTGCAAGGTGAGAAGTGTTATGTCCCTACTCTGGGTCTGGGACTTCATTCATTCAGCATGCCTGCTCCAGATTCTTTTATTCCTTCCTACCAGCTGAAATGCAGACATGGAAAACAACCCAGCTTTCACCAAGAAAATGATGAAAACAACTTAGAAAAAGCCTAGGTCCTGAATCATCATGAAGGGCAGACCTTCTCCACTCACCTGGGCCTTTGACACTGGGACTGTTTGTTGCATGAGAAAGAAATACACTCCTTTATTCTTTAAGCCTCTGAGCTATTGATCATCTTTGTGACAGCAGCCTAGCCTCCACGTTAACCCACATATGGGCCTGTCACTGCCTTCCTTAGATGCCCAGTTGTTGAGCTACCTTTCTCCTGGTGACTGCATGGGTTTCGTTTACCAGCTGTGACCTGCTGTTTGCAATTCTGCTTCATTTTTTCTTCTTTCCCAGGCTCTCCGTATACACTTGCAGCAAAATTTTAGCTTCTTTGCTAAACTCTCCTGATATTTATCATTTACTTAGAAATAACAAATTCAAGTTATCCATCAGTTATTTTGAACTTCTACTAAGAGCTCTGTTATGGGTGGGATTGGGTCTCCTGAAATTCAGATGTCAAAGACCTAACCCCCAGGACCTCAGAATGTGACCTTATTTGAAGACAGAACTTGACAGAGGCAACCAAGTTCAGACAAGACCATTGGGGTGGGCCCTAATCCACTATGACTGGTGTCTTTGTGAAAAGGGAAAGTTTATGACAGACATGCACAGAGAGGATGCCACGTGGAAATACATAAAGGCAGAGATCAGGGTGTTGTTTCTATAATCAAGGAATTCCAACGATGGTCGTCAACCTACCAGAAGCCAGAGGAGAGGCATGGAACATATTCTTCCCTCACAGCTGTCGGAAAGAACCAACCCTGCTGACACTTTGATCTCCGATTTCTACCCTCCAGAACTGGAGATGCTACTGATCTGTTGGTTAAGCTACCTGGTTAGTTGTGCTTCGTTACTGCAGCCCTAGAGCGACCACCCAAACCCCACAAGCCATCTTTGGCAAACAGGAATTATTTCAGCAACCTGAGAAGGAGAGAAAAAAGCTTGTTCCTAGAACCCAGATAGCAGAACCTGTGCTGACCAGAAAGACATCTGGGCAACGAGGAGATTGTACACTGTAGGTCAGAAATCAGGAGAGGGGTTGGTGATTATTTCCAGAATGTACTAATGATCTAGTGTACATCTATAAAAATGTCCAAAATTATACCTCATCTAGATTACATTATATAAAGTTACATGGACATCAAAAACAAAATGTGCCTGCCTTTCAATGCAGCAATTCTAAATTCCTCTATTTTTTAAGATAACTCTAACGAAGAAATTGGCAAACCTAGGGGCCAAATCTAGCCTACCTGTTGTTTGGGGGCAGCCTGTGAGTTAAGAACGGTTTTTAGATTTTCTCAAATGGTTGAAAAAAAGTCAAAAGTATAATATTTTAAGATGAGAGAAAATTATATGAAATTTAAATTTCAATGTTGATAAATGAAGTTATATGTTAATACCAACATGCTTATTTTTTTGACATATAGTCTACAGCTGCTTCCACACTCCAATGGCAGATATGTGTGACAGACCATATGGATCCCCAAACTGAAAATATTTACTGTTTGTCCCTTGAGGGAAAATTTTGCTGATCCTCTGGTGTAGAACATTTGAGTGAAGTATCCCTTCCAAATTATTATCATATTTCCCCAGTCTTCTATAGTTGTCTTGCCCAAATCTAATTCGAAAGCACTGTTTTATGTGTCTCAACTTTATCACATCTCTCCAAAGTAATTCAAATTAGTTTTCATGGAAAGTGCTTTCTTTTCACACTTCTGTTTCAAAGGTTACAAAGGCATTTTACTAAATCATGTAATTATATAAACAAATACAACTAGAATAAGCAGTTTGGTGCCAACAACTGACCCCTGATAAATGTATAATTCAAAATGTGACAATGAATATATGTATGTTCATATATCACTGAAAAATTGTGCTCTACATTGGAATTTGACACAGCATTGTAAAATGACTATAACTCAATAAAAAATTTTTAAAAACTCATATAACTCAAATAATAGGAGCAGAAGAGCACTGGCGTGTTGAGAGGGACAGTGGTCTTTGAGCATCACTGCTGTTTTATGGAGAGTTCGGGTTGATGTGGTGAGTGGGTTGAGTGGAAGTTGTTTAAGTTTGGTTTTTCTCTCCCCAACTAAAGACTAACCACCCCCCACCCCCAAGAGCAGGGATCATCTTTACCTTTCTTTTGTATCCTTTTTCCAAGTGTGGAAGCACATAACAGATGCTCAATTAGTACATGTTGGGGGGTGAGATGATGAAGCTTCCATCTTCACTATTATCTTCACTATTAACTGTGTTAGCATTACTATTCTACTTTGACGTTTAAGTTTTAACATTTCCTTTTGGAGGAATTAAAAAAAAAAAGCACGACCTCAAAGGAGCTTTAACTCATTTTTGCAATGTGCGTTCATGTAGTGTTTTAAAGAAACTTCAAAAATGGCTTTGAATGAATTTCAGTAATGAAATGCCTTCTGAGACAATGGTTAAGAGCATGCCACTTGGAAATTAAAATTCTACTTGTGGGAATTGCCTCTTTGGAAATATATATTGATGTAGAATGTAGTTTGATAGAATGAGTATGTTGGCAGAATTTTCTCAGTGACCAGACAAAGACCTATAATTAAATAATAACTAGAAAGATAAGAACAGAATAGCTACAATCTTAAGTACTGTTTGACATTTATGGCAATAGATAGAAATTATAGGGAGTAGATTTTATTTCAGCATGAAGATGAACTTCCTAATAGTAAGAGCTGTCCCAGACCGACATGGGCTGCTGTAATCAAGCAAAAGTGATACAATCACTTGGTTATGGGAAGTGTAGGAGATTCATTTATGCTTGTTTTGTACTGGGTTGTATTGAATTCGACTTCCAAGTTCTCTTTCAATGCTAAAATTCTATAAGAGGTACTGAAACATACAGTGATATAAACCCTTTCAAAGTTTTTTTTTTATATAGTTAATAAAATATATTACTAAAACTATCCAGCATGCCTCTGCTTGTAATAATAGAAAAGAATCAGAAACATTTACAGTAAGGAAGAAGGGGGCCATTTGAAACAATTTTTTTTTATAAATTAGTGTGTTGAGAACCATACCTACATTCTAAAGAGATTTTTAAAAGATCTTTGTGTGGATGAAGGTTCTTATTCTGTTAGTGTTCCTTTGCTAGTTCTCAAAATATTATTCCTTAAACAATGCCGTAAATGATCCTGGTAAAATTGCTTGGTTGATTCTAAAACTTATAAGAGGAAACTCAGGAATAAAAGCTGCCCAAAGAATGGACAGTATTAATTTGGAAGCATGATCCTAAGGACCTGAGGATTTAGAAGCATGGATTCTAGTGAATTGGCCCTTATTTATAAATTAACCACAGCTTTTTTTTTTTAAACTGGTTGGATGGAGCAATATTGAGTTACAGTCTTTGAGGCAACAACGGTTGGGACACATGATTAATTTCTTTATTCCATCTTAGAGTGAGACTTCCCTGGAAACATATTTCCTGATTTGATAATAAATGCCACACCCTCAGTGACAACTAGGAGGAGCTGTTGAGTCTTCACTCTGTCTCAACACCCTCTCCATGGAATCACAACATTGCATCTACTTAATTCACATTTGTGTCTTTTGGGCCACATATATAAATGGTAATGAAAAATACATGTTTTATAAAGAAAACATGATTGCTGGATTCTTCATGCCAATGAAGATTCCCTGTCCACTTTTGTCATCAAATGTTTTCTTGAGCCATTTCGATATCTTATTGAATTCTCAACTCAATCATCAGCTTTTGGAGTCCTGTTTCTGGGCATGGGAACTTCTACACTCCTCAACTGCTCTTTTACTTTGAAGAAAAAAAGGTTAAAAGTTTCAATCTATGGTCTAAACTGTTAAACATCTTTACTCCACACTGGTCATGCCAAAGCAATATCCCCCATATGACTCTGAATAACTAAATAACATATTCTTTGCATTTCAAAGGGCCATCACTGTAAATCTGAACATTACATTGTTGTTCATTTATTAAGAGAGTATTATGTAAAAAAAAAAATCTGGGAAATAAAGATAGGCTTTCTGACCTCAAACATTTTAAGATCACATTTGAGAACAGACACTAGGTGTAATATGACTCATAGTTGGTAACAGAAACAATTAGAACCAACATGATTAGAGGTAGGAGACATTTTCTCTGTTGCAGGACTCATGATCAACATACATGCGTAGTCCGATGTGTGTATTTTGGAGAGTAAAGAACAAGGGAGTGAGTATAGTCTGTGAACATTTATTTTTGCTGTCTTCCTAAGACGTCAAGGCTGTAAGAACCTATCAATCAAATAATGCTAGATGGAACACAGCCAAATAACATTAGGCTGAACCAAATGAACTCATTATTTGTATAGATCAAAAACTTTGAATATTGTCAATTTCATATGGCTCAACCAATAAAAACAATTTGCATTAGTTTTCAATCACTGTGTCACAAATTGCCACAAATTTAGCAACTTAAAATATAACATTCATTATCTCACAGTTCCATAGATCAGAAGTCTGGGAAAGCTGAATTCTCTGATTACTTGCTTAAAATCAGGATAGAGTGGGAAACTTCTCTGGAAGTTCTGGAGGAGAAACTGCTTCCAAGCTCAGCTAGATTGTTGGCAGAGTTCAGTTCCTTGTGGTTGTGGCCAGATGTTGTTCTCAGGAACTAGAAGCTGCTTCCCAGTCCTTGGATATGGCCCCTTCATCTTTAAGCCAGCAACGGTGTGTTGAATCCTTGTGCTTCAAATCTCTCTGACTTCTTTTTCCACCATCCCAAGAAAGCTCTCTTTTAGGGATTCATGTGATTGATTAGTCCTGCCCAGATAATCTTTTTGATTAACTCAAAGTCAATGGATCAATAACCTTAATTACATCTGCAAAATCCTTCTTGTCATTTGAACATAACTGATCAGGTCTTGATAGCTCATCATATGAGAATGGGATACTTGGGGGGCCGTTTTAGAATTTTGTCTACTGCATATGTTAAACCTGACCCCAAATGTCTCGGTTGTAAAATCCTCAATTGCCTAATTGTGTTATCTGTGACCTGGGATCTTTCTCCAGATACAAGATGTCCATGAAAGGATGGTGTGTATTTGCAAAAGTGACAAGCCTGAAAGGATTTTTTTCTTTTGCATTAAATGTAGTTAGTGTTCTCCTAATACATTTCAGTTTTAACCTTAGTTCCATTCTAAATTATAAAATAACACTCACTCACTATTTCATGAGTTAGTATTAAAAATTGTTGGGAAATGCCATGATGAAAATAAAATTAATCTCATTTTATAAGATATATGTGTATCAAATCATTACATTGTACACCTTAAACTTACACAATGCTGTACGTCCATTTATACCTAAATAAGGCTGAAAATAAATAAAACAAGTCTAATGAGAATCTGAGAATATGTTCCAGAGAACCCATCCTATATTTTATCTGGCACTACTTTAAAAAAAATAACCAAGAATTAAAAGCTTTGGTATATTTGTAAAACTAAAGAAATTACAAAAGACCTCTACTTTTCAAATCTGACAGATTCATGTATTGCCCCTGCTAATAGAGACTGTGATATTTAGCAAGTTTCTACTTTCTGGTCTACTTGATAGATTAAAAACACTCTAAGTGTCATGCACGTCCCACTAGTTGTGGGGGCTGGCCTGTGGGGAGAAGAAAATACAGACATTTCTATGAGCACCTATTACTGCAGCATAATAATCGTGAAAACAATGACAATCATTTGTTGAGTGCCTACTATGTGTCAGGCACTACTGATGATAAGTGCTACAGACTAAAAACTTCTGTGACAGGTTGTACAGGTAAATGGCTAAAGGTGTGAGCTTGAGAACCAAACAGTCTGGGTTCAGTGCCATGATTGATCACTTATTAAATGACATTGGACACAGTTTTTAGCCTTTCTGTTCTGCAAAACAAGCATCATCTTCAATAACCTACCTTGTTGAGCGAATGAAATCGAATCATCCGTGAAAGACATTAAGCACAGCGCCTTGCACGAAGTGACTTCTCAGTGAGTAATACTCATTACTATTACTATTATCATTGGATAAAGGAGGATGGAAGGAAAAAGGGAGTGGAAAGAGACTGATTTAGGCAGAGTGATTTAAGGTTTATAAAAGAGATGAGGCTTGAATTGGATTGAGTTAAACTGAATTTTTATAATTGGTAGAGGAGGAAATCCATTCATTCTCAATTATTTCAAATTTCCTAAAAAAAATGTTTTTATTTCGTAGGAGTGAGAAACTGATTATATTTGGACAGTGAACAGGACTAGAGACAATCCACACATTCTACCAGGTCTGTGTAATTTCATTTTCTTCAAAGATAAGTAAGCAAGTGTCTAGTCCATTCAGGTATAACAAAGTACCACAGCCTGGATGACTTATAAACTAAAGAATTTACTTCTCACAGTTCTGGAGGCTGGAAGTCTAAGATCAGGCTGGCAGCGTGGCTGGATTCTGGTGAAAGCCCCCGTCTGGAATGCAGACTGCTGTCTTCTTCTGGTGTCCTTACATGGTGGGAGGGGCGAAGGATAAGGCTATCGGGTCTCTTTCATAAAGGCATTAATGACCTAATCACCTCCCAAAGGCCCCACCTCCTAATACCATCCCACTGGATGTTAGGATTTCAACATATGAATTTTTGCAGGACATGAACATTCAGACCATAGCAACAAGCAAACCAACCAACAAGGCACACCAGGCCACTAGGCTACCATCCTACTTTGGAGAAGCAGGATTGTTCCTGATATATGAGGCTCACCCCAGGAACTTGGTAAACTGAGTCTGAATATTCAGCTTGACTAGGGAGGAACCCTGTGTTTGCTTTTTCACCATCACTTGATTGGCCCAAATGCCTTAGTCATTCCCTTCCAACATAATCCAAGCCAAGATGAGCAATAAGTGATTAAGGCTCAACCTC